GGAGGTAGGAAACAGGTATTTTAAAAGAATTGGTTACTTACATCTCAATAAACCAGTTAAGTTACACTCTCACATGGTGTTAAAAATGAGAAATCAAAAAAAGAAACGTGTGTATATCACTGAAGCCATTTTTGCACAGAGAGAGAAAGTGTGGGTTTTTGATCTCTGCAAATGTGTGTGTATATATGTATGAGGAATTTGGGGATCCTAGAGGTGAGAAAGATGAAGAAAAATGAAAACCATGTCTCTGGAAATGTGTTTGTCAATTGTGATGCATGAGTCCTAGAGAGAGAATCTCTCCTTATCCTTTTTTTTTAAAAGAGTTAATTACACTTTTGATGAGGCACATCTGTCTAACTAGCTATATATTATATAAGTAAAAGTGAGTTTTTGTGAAGAGTTCTGTGAATTTAATCCGAACATTATTTTTTTAATCCTAACATTATTTACACCGTGCCTTCAGGCACGGGCATACGCTAGTATATCTATATGACATGGAAGCTTAGATTTTTACTCCTGATAGGACTTTTGTCCCTTTGTCAATACATGGACCATTAGATTGAATTCAATCCAATGGCTTACAACGTCTAATTTTGAACACACACAATACAGATCCCCTTTGTCAATACAGATCCCCTCTCTCTCTCACACTCCTCTTTCAAATTTTGAACACACACGCTCAGAATCTCTCTCTCTCTCTCTTTACATCTCACTTTTCATCTTCTCTTTTCCTCCATCCCTCTGAACCGCCACAACAAACCCATCTCAATCCCTCTGAACCGCCCCAAAATTCTTTAACTTCGTCGGTGGCTGAATTCGAGCTCTACAACTAGCGTGGCTCTGGCACAGAGGTAAAGAATTTCTCTCAATCATCCAAAAACCAGAGTCAAATCTGTGAAACCTCCTCCAAATCCACAGAGGTAAAGAATTTTATTTGTTGTTTAATCATTTATAAATTTATTGATTTTCTTAGTTGTTTTCTCTCATATTAATCAACAAATCGGACATTTTTGAGGATTAATCTAGACAGTTTTTTGTATCAAAATCGGACAGTTTTTTGGGGATTAATCTAGACAATTTTTTGTTTTGGTAGGGAAGGTTTGCTTTGTTTTTTTTTTTTTATTATTTCTGTTCTAGGTTAGACAGTTTTTAAACCCTTAATTTGTTCATCTTATTTTTTGTTCATCTTTTTCATCTTATAAAATGACCAAATAAGTCATGTATTGCAAGTGTTTGATAGAATGACCCAATAAAATTTAACAGTAATTTCATTTCAAAGTGCCCAAATTTTGGTCGCCTTAGAGTGCTTTTATTTAATAAAAAAAGAGTGGGTTGGAACAACATGTTCGCATGTTAATGATATGAAAGAAAGTGGAATGGTTTCTTAATAATTTGATTTTTTAATTCTGCGTTATTAAAGATTGGACTTTTTCTCACTTCCTTCTGGACATGTTGATTGCTACTTGCATATTTTGAAAACCATGTCGTATTTGTGATGTCTATTAGAATATGTTTGAATCTCGCATTTTTTTTGTGTGTGTTGGTATTTTGATGAATTAAAAGACTCTTTCGATGAATTATAAGTTGAAATTAAAACTATCAAGGGTTGATGTCAAAACTAAGTGGCTTTCTTCCAAAATCTTGATCCTGATTTCATTAGAAAAACTTGGTTAACTGTTAATCTCCTTAAAATTGCAAAAATCTTGATCTAACACCATGTAGTAATGATTAAAAGGATTATGTATTGTTGTGTACTGAAAATCTATGATAGCATGTTTTAGAGTATGTTTTTCTCAACTATTAGGGATGTATCTTTATGTTTACAAACAACTTGAACACCTGGGACATTTATGTTTTTCTCAACTATTTGGGTATTTGGATTGATTACTGAATAATTGTGTTTTTTGTTTTTTGCTACTATTTTCTTTTTCTCTTCTTTCTTTCCTTTCTTTTTTGTTTTTTCATTTTTTTCTATTTTTTGTTAAAAACATTATTTTTTTCACCGAAAATAATTGAATGTTGTTAGGTTGACAATTGATATAGTTTTAACAGTGATTGATGTATCAAGTCTGTCTAACAACTTGAAACTTGCTTTTCTTAGGAGAGGATAAAAGAAAATGTTCCATTTGTATGTATGAGTATGACTCTGGCATACAACTCCTGACCTGAGATTTGTCTGAGTTATGCAGTCAATACTTTAAGAAAAAAAAATATAAAAAAAAATTAATTGGCACGCTAGAAGAATTGAGACTTGTATCTTTAGGAACATATTTTGAATTTTTTTCATGCTAAACATGCATCTAGGTTTATTATGAATAAAACCCCAACTTTTGTAAAATTACACAAAAGCCCTAAACTTTTACAAAATTACCAAACCAAGCCCAATATCTCAAAATACCAAAATTTAAAGACAAAACCCATAGAGAGGAGTAGGTTATCCCTACCTCAAATTCGGAGCTCCAAGGGAGAAGAAGACAAAACTCAACGTGCTCCAAAACCCGAGATTTTCAGATTAAAATGAAGTCCTCGACGATCAACAACTTTTTTGTAAAGGCCAAAGGTGAGTAAATCACTCCTACTAGATCAAAACCTAGAGAGAAGGTAGAGTCTAGAGTGAGAGGCTCAACAATGGTGATTTTGGAAAAGTAAGAGAGAGAAGAGAAAGTGAAAAAGTGATTTGAAAAGTCACAACTTCGAAACTTAAACTCAGTCTTCCGCTCGAGCGTAAAACACCCCGCTCGAGCGTACACTCACAGACTTCCGCTCGAGCGGCCAACATCCCGCTCGAGCGCAGAATGCACTCGCCCAGCACTTCTGCAGAACCAGGCCCCCGCTCGAGCTCCCAACCCTACGCTCGAGCTCACAACACTGCACAACAAGATACTGGATGGATGTAATCTACGCTCGAGCGCCAACACCTCCGCTCGAGCGTACAGGCCAAAAATCTGGGCAACTAGTTTTGGTTTCTAAACTCAACCAACCTGAAACAAATCCGCCCAACACATCCTATAACTCAAATACGAAGCAAAAGGAATGTAAACACAATAACAACCAACTACCAACATCCATGGACACATGTCCGGATCACTGTACAACAAGGGTAAACCCGGGATCGCTATAACCTCCCCCCCTTAAAGAATTTCGTCCCCGAAATTAAGCACAAGTTTTCAAAAAACAAGTTTTTCTCCATTTAAACAATGTTACACTTGAACATTCAACAATTCGACCCATTACCGGTCATCCCATCCCTTTAACAAGAGATAACATTCAACAATTCGACCCATTACCCATATGTATTTTCAACATGCATTAACATTATGCACTATCTTTCCAATTTCAACAATATATTCAACATATACCATGTTACAATCAACTTCCATATGAGGCAAGTTCCAAACATACTTCCAATAATCAAAACATTTTCAATATTTCACAACTTAAGACATATATAAAAGCTCTTAAGTTCAACAACATGCAAACTTTAAATACAAGATCACATCTCAACAAACAAGTCCGGATATTTCTCACGGACTTCCAACTCACGTTCCCAAGTGGCTTCCTCCACTCCGTGATGTTTCCACAAGACTTTCACCAAAGGAATGGTCTTACCACGCAGGACCTGATCCCGCCCATCCAAGACCCGAACCGGTCTCTCCTCATACGAGGCATCCTCATCTACCTCTAAATCAGTCCAATCCAACACATGTGATGGATCTGGCTCATACTTCCGAAGCATACTCACATGAAACACATCATGCACTCCGGACCAACTAAACAAGTACTTATTTTCGAGTATTCATATGTATATATAATCATAAATATTAAAATGATGGCCATTTTTAGAATTTTTCATTGTCTTCGTTTTTCAAAAAAACTACAAACAGAAACACAACTAAACGGCTAGGAAAATTATTTGTTCTATGTCACATATCGGGGTCATATACTATCCCAGAAAAATATATAGCAAAGAATAAGTTATTCAAAGATCTCATGTCGATTTTATCTCACACTGCAGGGAATAAGTTATTCAAAGCTTGCGAATTTACCACCTATAGTCGGCCTCTGTGAGTATTCAACACCCTTACTCTGTTTTTCTTGCTAATTAAGTTCAACAAACTATTAAATTCATAAGATTTGATAGTCTTTAATGTATTAATTTTACTTGAATTGGGTTTTTATGCAGACTCAAGCTTCGTGGGATGCAGATTTTTATGTGAAGACAGTCATATCTTGCTGCTGCTGTTGCTTCATGGGATGCAGATTTTTATGTGAAAGTTGATGATGATGTTCATGTAAATATAGGTAAGAAATTTGTTTTTAGTACTTGATATAAAAATAAAATGCATACATGAAGGTCTAAAATCCAATACATAGATGCAAGACACTCAATGTGTTACAACTTTTAAATTCCCAATCGGGGTAGAAACTTCAGATGCCCATGTTCATATGAACCTCTAAATTCAAATCTACGACTGATATGATTGATTCAACAAGTTTTACTTGAAAATGAAATTATATATGTTTGTAACTCTACAAATTATTTATTTATTTTGTTGCATTGGGTAAGATGTAGTAAATTTTACAGCAACACTAGGAGAAACTTTGGCAAGATACAGGAAAAAGCCACGGGTGCATATCGGATGTATGAAATCTGGTCCTGTTCTTGCTCAGAAGTAAGTGGAATTTTGTCTTAAAATTCTTGCTGTTAACTGGATGTTGAGAAAGTGTTAAGCTTTTAGATGTCTTATTTGTGCACTCTGTGCCTGTCCTTGCTCAGAAGTAAGTGGAATTTTGTCTTAAAATTCTTGAGGTACCATGAACTTGAATCTTGGAAATTCGGGGAGGTAAGAAACAGGTATTTTAAAAGAATTGGTTACTTACATCTCGATAAACCAGTTAAGTTACACTCTCACATGGTGTTAAAAATGAGAGATCAAAAAAAGAAACGTATGTACATCACTGAAGCCATTTTTGCACAGAGAGAGAAAGTGTGGGTTTTTGATGATGATACAAATTATGGGTTTTTGATCTCTGCAAATGTGAGAGAAGGTGTGGGTTTTTGATCTCTGCAAATGTGTGTGTATATATGTATGAGGAATTTGGGGATCCTAGAGGTGAGAAAGATGAAGAAAAATGAAAACCATGTCTCTGGAAATGTGTTTGTTAATTGTGATGCATGAGTCCTAGAGAGAGAATCTCTCCTTATCCTTTTTTTAAAAAAAAGTTAATTACACTTTTGATGAGGCACATCTGT